GCTGTTTCAAATTTTAAATGATCACCATGGATGTTTTTAAAATTATTGCATATAATTGTTATATATATATACATGTATATGTGAAGGAAGGTGAAAATGTTTATTTTTTTTTATACACAAAATATGCAAACTTTAATTTCAAATTTTAGAAGAATTTTGCTCTGTAATAATGTTATTTTTCTTTTTTTTTTCTTTTTAATTTGAAATGTTAAATGAAATTGACATTCTTCTTCAGTTTTCAGAGACTTCAGTTGAAATCAAAGAAATTCCTCGATCGATCGATCGATTTCGATTCATTCAAGAAAATTCATAGACTCAGCAAACAAACTAGAAAAGAACAGGCATATAAATATAGAATAAAATTCATGCGGGTGGGTATAAATATAGCACAGAAGATGTAAAGAGGACCAAGGTTGAAAAGGTGAATATATAAATATATATATATATATATATATATATATATATATACATGCACACACACACACACACACACACACAGTAATATATATATATATATATATATATATATATATATATATAAATATCAATAAGAAAGGGAACAAAATCATTAAAATCTAAAAATTATCTTACAATTATAAAAAATAGATACTCTGTTTTAATTGATAATTCGTTTTTTGATTTTTCTTTGAAAAGTCCACATGAGACGAAACGCGCTGACTAATAATACAGCTTTCTATTGTAAATTTTTATACACACATTTTTATATACATACATATATATATATATATATATATATATATATATATATATATATATATTATAATTTGTTTGCAAGAAATAATGTTTTAAACTATTTTTAAAACTTAATAATTCAAAATAAAACAAATTATTATCGTTTATATGTTTATATGCCTTTTTTTCCCATATTTTAGTGTCCAAAAGTAATTATATTTACTTTTTGTAAAAACTTTTCAGATTACACCATATATATATATATATATATTTTATATACTTATCAGGTGTTAGGATATATATATGAATAAATTACACTCATATATATATATATAAATATCATTATAATATATATATATATATATATATATATATATATATATCCAGTTTCTGGTCCTCAGACTGGATAGTTTAACGGTTTTATCCACTGTGCCATATGTCTCAAGGACAAGGTGGGAGTTCAATACCTGGTTAAGGCGGTGGAGTGCAAATTGGGTCTTTTTAACAGGAGATAACATCAACTGACACCCATTAAACATGTCACGTACTTTTTTAGAAAAATCCTGGTCCTTGAGCGCAATAAAGGGTTCAGTATGGACATTCCAACCAACTGAAGAAGGCCGGAGCCATACAAGCTAAAACGTTGAAACGTTTTAAGAAATCATGACAAAGATGAGGATTTTCTGAATAATGTAGACATTATTTTATTTCGTTATAGAATAAAATAAAAGAAAATATTAAATTCAACGAGGATGTTTCGGCGTTTATTCTTATATATATATTTATATGGTATATATATATATATAGTTATAAAAACAAAACAAAAACCCTCTTCATATTTTATTTTTTATGAGTAATGTAACATTTGTGGTGATTAAATATTATATATTTTTTCTTGTTGTATTTTATTTGCCCATGCCTGAATAAAACTGTCATAGTATTGAAAGAAAAAAGCTATTTTCGTTGTGATTTATAACATATTTTTATTATAATCTTTATAATAAATAATTATATTTGCTCTACGTTGTATTGAGCACTTTTTTAAAGTAAATGCTACGAACAGTGGATTTTACTCCATCTGTTCTTTCTCCCATTTGTACCATACATATATATATATATATATATATATATATATATATATATATATATATATATATATATATATATGGGTTGATAGATGAATATTTCTTTTTCTCTTTTCTCTTGAGTTTCCACCGTAAATACAGGGTTATTTATTGCATTCGCTATTCTTCACTAGGCAAATTTACTTTCTGGCTTTTTCCCCAACATTGCGCTTCATAAATTATCCCCGACAGACTTTTACACTTTCGCTTCTATAAACAAGAGCCCAATGGTCGCCTGCTTTGACGCAATGGTTTGTAATATCCTTCAACCAATACGTTCAGTTCGCCTTTTACTTTTTATTTAATAAATATTAATTTGGATGTAATTTGGAATTTAAGGCCAAAGCTTCTCCTTTTAGCCAGTTTATGTGACATTAATTTTTTTTCCACATCCATATATATATATATATATATATATATATATATATATATATATATATATATGCGTGCGTATGAGTAATAATTTATGCATATATTATATTTATACATATTTTATATATGCGTGTGTGCGTGCGTGTGCATGAGTGTCTTTGCGTGTGTGTGTGTTTACGTGTGTGTGCTTGTGTGTGTGTGTGTGCGTGCGTGTGTATGTGCGTGTGTGTGTGTGTGTGCATGTGTAAATATTTCTGATATAAAATAAATCTGTAAAAAGAGACTAGGAATAAAAAGAATAAGGAAAAAACTTGTCTTATCCGACGCGTTTCCTTTCTCTGGTGGGCCTTAAGTCTTATGTGATTATATTGGAAGAATTATTTATAACAAAAATATCCACTAACATCATTTATTCCCTTTCGTTTATTCGACATTAAATTATGGCACTTAACATCCTCCATAGTTTAGCTAGACTTTTCAGTTAACCATATACTTTTTGCTCATGAATATTTGTTACAAATTAAAATCCTCACATTAAACTTCTCAGAGGACGAAACGCGTCAACTAACATAAGTTTTCATTTTATGTTTATATATATATATATATATATATATATATATATATATATATATATATATATATATATAGTGGGAGGAATTAAATATACGTAAGTTACGTTAAGTTTGCATTTTATACTTATTCATATATATATATATATATATATATACATTAAGTTTTCAGTTAAGTTTTTTATGCTAAGTTTTCATATATATATATATATATATATATATATATATATATATACATTAAGTTTTCATTTTTTTTATTCATATATATATATATATATATATATATAGTGGTGAGGAAATAAATATAACGTACACGATGATTTATTTTAATGAACATACTTATAAGTTATAAGTTATGAAAAAATTTTAAATCTATACAATATATCTACACCATTGCATAATCTACAATATGCAAAAAACAAAAAAAAAAATTAGAAAATGCTGTTTTAGATGTATTTATGTGTTATTTATGAAATTTATAAAATTTCGAGGCGAAACAAGTATTCGTACGAAATATGTCTTTAATATCAAGGGGCTTAAATTACCATTATTTACATAATTCTTTGTAAGATTTTGCTAGATTCTTCCAATTATCTTATTACCAGAATAATGTAGAAGATTCTGCAATTCATTTCTTATATAAGATTATCTCCGTACACAAATCATACACAAAAATTATCATCATTGGGTAATGCAAGGAACTATCAAATTCGAAAATAAATTGATCATCAAACATTGGAAAGAAGTGAAAAGCTATAGGAAAATGGCAGATATCCTGAATATAACATTTACTACTATTAGTTCCGTTATTATTATGTATAAAAAGGTGACAACTGTTGAGAACAAATCAAGATTTGGTGCACAATTCAAGATTTTTTTCCAGATCAATGAGACGAAGTTCAAGAAAATCCAATGACTCCTTGGAGAAAAGTCCAGGAAGAATTAAAAGCATCAGGTATTATTGTTACGAAGCGAACAATAAGCAATGGACTCCATAGAAGTCAACAAAGATAACTTTTTCCAAGTAAAAACTACAGTATTATTGAAGAAACATAGGGATGCCCAGTTACAATTTATTTCTGAGCATAAGAATAAACATGAATCATTTTGGGAAAGTATTTTATGAACGGATGAATCAAAAATTGAACTATCTGGGTGTAATTCGATGACTCACGTTTGGAGAAAAGATGGCGTCGCGTTTACACCGAAGAACACAATCTCAACAGTGAAATTTGGGGGTGGCAATATCATAGTTTGGGAATGTTTTTTTCTGCTAATGGTACGGGTAATTAAAAGATAAAGGATAGGAGAATGAATTCAAAAATATACCAAGATGTTTTGGATTCTAATTTCTTTTTAGTAGTAAAGCTTGGACTCCAAAATGAACGTGTTTTGCAACAAGTTAATGACCCTAAACATACGGCTAAATCTACGAAAAAAAAGGCTTATTGAAAACAATGTCAATACACTAGGATGGTCATCACAGTCTCCAGACTTGAATCCAATAGAGTATTTGTGGTGTTTATTAAAAAATTCATGTTAATAAAAGATCTCTGAAAAACATCCTGGACCTAAAAAGAATATTAAAAACAGAATGGAGAAAAATACCAATGGAAAAACATAAAATCAATGATTAAACGCTAAAGAAAGAGACGGATTGTATTTGTATTGAGTAAGGAAAAATATTAAATAGATATTATGGTTATGTTCAAATCGTAGCTTAGATGTGGAAAAGGGTGAAAGTATGGGGCACCGAGTGAGGTTCGAACTCACTACTAAGTCGTAATTGTTCTAGTTTGGCAAGCGTTCTAACCATTCACCACCTCGAGGCGCCCTAAATAGGTATTATAATGGTGTCCGAATACTTTTTTCGACTCCAAATAATTTTAATTTCATATAATTTCATGAATACATGAATTTTTGTTGCATATTGCAACATTATGCCTTGGTACACAAATATTGTATGGTATATAATATTCTTTTATAAAATCTAACAATTTTAAATAAAAAATTCATGGTGTACGAAAATTTCTCCCCCATCCCACTGTATATTCTTTGCGATTCGGTAAGGGAAGAATGTTCAATATGGCGGTTAGAGCGTGTATAAATATAGAAGATTTTTTTATTATAGAAAATAACACTGCATGGTGAGTGACAGTTTCACGACACAAGTTATTTTCAGACTTGGACTTCATCAATGATCGCTTCACGCGTGAACATGACAGCCACCGTGTTTGGATGAATGCTTACTATCTACATATACCTTTATCTATCTATCTATCTATCTATCTATCTATCTATCTATCTATCTATCTATCTATCTCAGTCTCTTCATATCTATCAATCTATGAACCTGTTCATATCTATCTCCATCTGTTTCTTTCTATCTATCTATCTATCTATCTATCTATCTATCTATCTATCTACCGATGCATCTATCACAGTCTGTTTTATATATATATATATATATATATATATATATATATATATATATATACATAAACCACAAAAAGAATTTACAAAGAACTCATAGAGTTTGCTTGGGAATACCGACCTTGAAAATAAGTCTAATCTAATTATGGAAGAGTCTGTTTGCTTTTACGAAGCCGACACTTGCCATCATCAAATGGCGGAAACGTACGAAAGTTGTTGTTAGGATTCCACAATATCTACCGATGCATCTATCATATCTGTTTATATATATCCATCTATCTATCCATCATATCTATCTATCTATCTATCTATCTATCTATCTATCTATCTATCTATCTATCTATCACAGTCTGTTTATATGTATGTATGTATGTATTTATGTATGTATGTATCTGTCTATCTGTCTGTCTGTCAGAGTGTTTCTATCTATCTATCTATCTATCTATCTATCTATCTATCTATCTATCTATCTCGCTAGCTTTTTCAATTTTTTTCATTCATTCAATTATTTATTCTTTCTTTCTTCTGTTTCCTACTTCAATATTTTAATTTTTTTCCTACTTTTTCTTCACATTTTCCCTCTTTATTTTCTCTGACTTGGGATGAAAGGAAATTGTGTTTTTTATTAATATTTCTTCTTCCTCCTCTTCCTCTTCCACTTCTT